TACACACAGCGCTGTAGGCAACTGCCTTAGTTTTATCATAACTAGTGGCTCCCACTAGTGCATAAGATACCGATCTACCGATTGCGATATACTAACTACAGTCCAGAAAGCGACACTTGGGAGACAAGGCAGAATCTAAAGAATGCTCCAGAAGTTTTGCGTGAATGGGAAAAAATCAAGGCACTCCTAAAGAAGAAGCCAAGAGTAGTGGAATAATGGATCCAAGACAACTACTTAAAAGAGGTTCGGTTTTCACTATTTTCATCCCCCAGTCAAGCTATCAATCTTCTTCTTCACCTAACAAATCCTCTCTCAGTCACAACAGATGCCAAATCACTCTTCACTATGCAAACCATTGAACTTTACAACCCCAATACCCCCAACTTACATTTGACCCCATTCACCTCTACTTATTCCTTATCCGAGGACGTCAACCCGCTCAACTACCAGTTAACGGCCGATGACTTCATTGTACTTACTCAGGCCGATGGTCAACTTTTTTATGCACTCGACCCTTCTACAACCACTTCCTTATTTTGGGCTTTACACCGCTGAGCGCGTTATATCACGGAGGCCACAGCACCTGAAGTCAACAACAACCCCTCCATTCCGTTCACTCCCCGAGGATATATTCCCCAGTTCTACTTCGATCGCCTCAACATGCGGCAACCCGACATCCTCACTATCCAAGACCAGATCTTCCTTAACCCACTTTGCGGGTACACAACCTGGGAGAATCTCTCCACTTGGTACCGCGATTTTCAAACAATTGGTCATCTCGCTGTCCAGTGGATTCAGACAGCTCAATGCCAGACACTTCAGCTGGGACCTGGAATGGGATGGGATTGGGAGGTTTGTCAGGGTACTTGTCTCAAATATCCTGAGCACCATCTCATCACGGCAGGAAACATGGGGAATGGGGGAGACAGTTCATCTGAATGGTCGAGTGATGAATCCAGTACTTTACAGTGCCCCACCTATTCCTGCAGGAATGGGGTCATTCCAGTGGAATTCCAGAGGAATTCCAGAGGAATCCAGAGGAATCCAGAGGAATTCCAGTGGAATAGGACTGGAATCAAGCAGAGTAAGTTTTTTTCAACTCCAACCTTATCCTGATGACTTAGATTGAGTTGTAATGTATTTGAAATGTATTACTACACACACTACACAGTTTATCTTAAAGGGAGGGGGTAGGGGAGGGACAAGGTGGGGGTGTATTTATATTTTTGGGAGGGACAAGCAAGGGGGAAGAACAAGGGAGGGGAGGGAGGAAGGGGGAAGGACAAGAAAGAGGGAAGGACAAGAAAGAGGGAAGGAAGGAAGGGGGAGGGACAAGGAAGGGGGGGGGAGGAAAGGGGGGAGGGAGGAAAGGGGGGAGGGAATGGTGGAGCAAGGGGGAAGGGAGCAGTGGAGGGTAGAGGGAGTGTGGCTGGGACCTCAGCCATCGTCGTCCCGCATTGGCGTCCCATTGTTGTGTCACATTTCGTTGTCGTCTCCTCGTCGCGTGTTCGCGTTTTCGTTGTGTGTCCGCATTTTTGCATTATTCATGGGTGTTGTCGTCGCCGTCGTCATGGGCGCTGGTTGCCATTGGGGGCATCATCGTGGGTGGCGTTGGTGTGGACGTGGTGGTTTTGGTAGGCGGCATGGTGCCGTCGTGTGTTGTATGGGCGGTGCGTGTTTTTCGGTGGGCAGCGCGTGTTTTTCGGTGGGCGCTCGTGTTTTTCAGTGGGTGGTGGGATGTTTTCGTGGGCGGGGTATGGTTTTCGTGGGCGCTGGCGGTGGGCGTCGTTTTGTGCCCGTTGGGTGTCGTTTTGTGTCAGGGGGCGTTGTTTTCGTGGGCGTTGGGGGTTTTCATGGGTTACGGTGCTTGTTGTTTCGTGACGTGGCGTTGCCGCGTTGTTGTTGAAGGGTGTCGTGGTCGATGTTGGTGGTCGTGGTGGCCATGGGTGATTGAGGAGCGACGTTGGCAGTGGTGGCTATGGGTGACAGTGATGGTGTGGCGTTGGCGGCGGTGACGAGCATGGTGGTGGTGGTGGAAGAAGAGAGTGGCCATGTTTGGTGAGCATGTTCACCAAACAAACATTGTTTGTGATCCATTGAAAATAAATAAACTATAATACAGTAACAAATAAATAAAATAAACAGATTGGACTGGAATCCCATTCCTGCCCACTCCGGGGAACACCATTCCTGCCCATTCCAGGGAACATTCCGGTGTACATTCTGGAATCCACCAGAATTCCACCGGAATGGAACACACCAGAATAAACAATTTAGCAGGGCCTTCTGCTCAATTCCATTCCACTGGAATGACCGGATTCCTGCAGAAATAGGGGGGGCATTGATAAGACCTCTGCTCTTTTGAAGTTATCCAGGGGCCATGCTTTCCAGTTACATCTGGAAAACATTGAAACCCTCCTTGTGGCCCCCTTTTTCCAAGTAACGAAGAGGCAATCCAACCTGCTTTGCCACAAAGAAAGAGTCAGCCAACCACATATATGACATAGTTGCAGCTTATGGTTGCCCATTCTGATGCCATCAAAATTGTTGTAGAATATATGGCAAAGAACCAGTGTGACACAGTCTCTGCTGACATTCTGGACCATCCTTCTGTGGCAGGATCTCTTTTCTGGTCATTATCTTCCAAATACGGACTCTCAAAGTGTGCCTGGAGACTTTCCCTCCCAAGATTACATCTGTGTTTTCTTGGAGAAGGGTGTAATGAGAGCAACAGCCATGAAGCATGATCTTGATTTGGCCCAAACTGCCTGTGAACAGTGGCCATCAGATCAAGGTCCAAAACACTCTGAGACAGGGGCAAAATTCTGTCAGGATTCCAATGTCCTAAGGCAGGTCCGTGCTATTGAGGCCAAGATCTCTGAATGGCAGTTGATGCTGGAGAATCATACCAAGAAAGGCAGATTGCAATCATCAAAAG